TATCAGGAAAGTCATTTTCATATTTTGAAGAATTTCTTTTAAATAGATAAAAATTTGTAAATCAATATTACGTTAAGGTAATTATTATTATATGATAGACAAGTTATTTTTCGTTTTTCTCGATCTGATGTAACAGTAGTCACGTGTACGACACTTATTATTAGAGCGTCCAAAGGCGAAGATGAATGGTCACGTTCCGCACGTGAAGACAATTTTAATTTAACTATAACGCCCGTGCGTATACAATGCATGTGTGCGTGCACGTGTTCGGTGTTCTCCTGATCTCTCAATTGGTCACGCGAATAGATCATTGATCTGTTTTGATTGACTGTAACGGATTACGTCAAATCAGTATAACGTAAGAGTACACGCTTGATTATTTATTCTGATAATTTATTTTAATAACACCCTAATAGAAAATTTAAAAATCGACAAGTAAGGATCCTTTCAATTCGAATTCCAAGGATGGAATTTCTGTAAAATCTGGAAAATTTTCCTGGTATGCACCGTATTAGTTAAAATTCAACATTTTTCGTCTAGTGCAACGTTATATTTAAACCTGCAAATTCTATACAGCACTGTTTTATTTCTGACCTACTTTAATTCCAATAATAAAATATTCTCAAAGTCAACGGGAGCAATTCCGTAAAGTCTTTCAATTATTGTGTAACTTCCTCAGAGATCATTCTGAATACCATATTAATTGAAGCGATTTTCTCACTTAGGCAATTTTCCGTCTTCACCTCCCCCCAACTCTATATTTAAATTAATCTCACCCCTATTATGTCAGTTTAATCGTGAAAGAAACGGTTTTACATTGAAACGACCTTCTCAAGTATTACGAAATCGTTTCTGCCGTTACGGAAGCACGATTAATTTTATTTACATCCCGTCCACTAGTGGATGAAAAGAATTTCGATTGCGAAGTTATTTTAAAAAATTCTCAATTCTTTCGCGGTGCTAATTGGATGAACTTCTCGAATGCGGACGTTCCCACTAATACGAATTCCATTCTCACAGAATAAATTACGAGAAACTGTAAAACGAAGCTACGTACGATCCGTTGCTACGCTAATCCTTGAAGTCGCCGCGGATTATACGCGCACGTATCCTATTAAATCTCGTTGAGAGACAGATCCGGGGTTGAAGGAAAACTCTCATGGGTAGATACGGAATTCACGGTTTCCGGCGCGGTGCGGCGGCGAAATTATTTAGATCACGGAACACGGAGATTGAAAGCGAATGCCGCGCCGGGGCTCGTAACCGTAACCGTAACCACAAGTATTTTTAATTAATTCATATAATTTGCATGTGTACAACGTGATTATACGTGAACTGCAAAAAGCACGTAATATTCGTAATATTGTTAACTGACAATTCTGTGCTTAGCAATTGCTTTTCTTATATAATTATTTAAAGAAAATAAAATTTTTGTATTACAGGAAAAAGAGGAGAAAAAGAAAAGCAGAAACAAAGAAG